CAAACGCATCCCATAGAAACATATCCTCACCAGTTACCAGGAAGAGAAATGAGACTGAATCCACGTGAACCCCGGCCAATAGGTATCTGGTTTCCAATGCCAACTTCGATAGCGCAGAGCCGATCGTAACGTCAGACGGGACATAACACTGATCAACATCAAACGAAAAGCCTAACATCTAGGCGCTTGAACGCAACCCAGCACCGCAGCATACCGTTCGACTACACTAGCAAACCAGACTCCATCGCAAGGGAGAAAAGGCAAGGACGCAAAACTAGATGGCCAACTGCTCGACACGACACGCCGGGGGACTGTTTAGGTTGTCGCTAACCCTCGGCGGGAAAATGCAGCCACTCTCTTTCTCTCCGTCTGCTACTGCCCGGTAAAAGAAGCCGATGCCACCGGGCGGCGAGCAGGGGTGATAAAAACAGCACAATCTGGATCTCCGCTCCGAAATGCTTGCCGGGGCGTCTTTGCGCTTGTTCGTGCCTCTTCCCAATTCTTTACCGCATCCCGACAACTCAGGGTCATTCCGCCGTATCCGCTCGAGTAGAAATGTCAGGTGGCTAGGCTGCCGTAAAGCGGCGAGAGCGGGGCAATGCGGAGGTTGGGCAAGGGGTGAAAATACATAAATACTAGTTGTTTTGAGGCGAAATGACACTACTTTCACCAGAAAGATAGAAAATAATAGTAAAAAGAAGCCATTATAAAAGAATTAAAGCTGGGCAAAATAGTATAACTAGCGGCCTTTCCAATCAGGCAAAAACTCGATAAATAGGCAAAAATATCTCGCTTTCCAGCTGGATATTACTATTAACGAATCATTCGCTTCAACACTAAACTTCTAGCTTTTCAAGTTCTTAAAGTAACAAATACATACTTGAAACCCTACAACTTGAAGGGAGAGAGGAAAAAGAAGGCCAAGCGCATGACTTTCTTCTTCACTTTTCTTTGCTTTGTTTAGACTTACAGGTAAAACATGATCTTTTTATTCTGTTGTAAAAAGTATTTCAAAATTTACCTTTTTAATCATAGTTCGTTCCGACACACTACGCATAACTTACGATTGCTAGCCTACAGCAATCCCGTGACTTTCATGCGGTAATCGCCGGGCGCCGGCGTTTTCGGATTCTCGGTCTGCGTTTCTCTTTCCTCTTTTCGATCCTAAAACTCTCCCAATTTTTTTTTCATTTTTTACGAAATTTAAATTATTTTTTCGTTTTAATAGCTTTAACTTCCTGCCGGGTTTGACGCGCTCATGTTCCGCTGTGCTTGACAATTCCCTGTTTTGCGCTGTGATTTTGCTGGACCTAGTTTCTTCTGTTTTTATGATTTTTCACAATTTTTTTGCTTTCAGCAATGTCCGGCGGACACGAGAGCCTGAGCCTGGTGCAGGATGACGTGGTGAGGCTCCTCGCCACCTACACGCACATCGGCACGACGAACGTCGACCATCAAATGGAGCAGTACATCTACGCACGACGCGCTGACGGTGTGTTTTTGGAATGCTTTCATTTTTTGATTGTTTGAAAATAGCTCGAACGGGCTGAACGCGTTTTGCATTTCTTTTTCAATGTTTAATTTCAGGTACCCACATCATCAACTTGAAGCAAACCTGGGAGAAGCTGCTGCTGGCCGCGCGCGCCATCGCCGCTGTCGAGAACCCGGCCGATGTGATCGTCGTCTCGGCCCGTCAATTCGCCCACCGAGCCCTGATGAAGTATGCTGCGCACACAGGAGCTACCCCGGTCTTTGGCCGTTTCGCCCCGGGCGCGCTCACTAATCAAATCCAGAAGAACTTCAAGGAGCCGCGCATTATCATCATCTCTGACCCGCGAATCGACCATCAGGTATTCAAAAAGCTTTTTTTTATGTTTCATAACTGTCTTTGTTAGGTCGTCACGGAAGCTTCGTACGCCAACGTGCCGATCATCGCGTTCACCAACTCGGATTCGCCGTTGAAGTTGATCGACGTCGCCATTCCGTGCAATAACAAGGTAAACATTACATAGAATTGTTTATAGTTTCCTTTTAGGCCGCGCAGGCTGTTGGTCTGATGTGGTGGCTGCTCGCTCGCGAGGTGCTCATCCTACGTGGCAAGGTGTCTCGTGATGGACCGTTCCTGATCGAGAACACCGAGATCATGCCGGATCTCTACTTCTTCCGCGACCCAGCCGAGATCGAGAAGGAGCAAGCCGCCGAAGAATTCGAGGCCGGTCAACAAGAAGCCATCACCACCGAGGTTCCACTCGACTTCACCGCTGCCCCGGATATCAAGGACTGGGCGGCCGAGGCCAACGCTGACAACTGGAATGGCCAGCCGGCCGGTCAAGAATGGGGACAAGCCCCCGCGGTCAACCAATGGTGAACCCGAGAAATACCCGTTTTAAATTGTTGTTTTGTGTTGCGAATAAATACTTGTTGATCTTTTGACTGTCCTTTGAATAAAGTCATGGTCTCCAACCATTGCCCTTATCTTTTACTGGATTGGTTTCCGGTGAATATTATCTTTGGTGTTCAGCGTTATCCGTAGAAATTCGTTACTGCCTCGTTTTAGACAAGAGAAGATGGCGCCGGCACGCAAGGGCAAGACCAAGGAGGAGCAGCCCGTCGTCGCCCTGGGCCCGCAAGCTCGCGAGGGTGAGAACGTCTTCGGCGTCGCGCACATCTTCGCCTCGTTCAACGACACCTTCGTCCACGTCACCGATATTTCCGGTAATTTATTGTGTTCGTTCATTGACATTTTAACTTAGGCCGCGAAACGATCGTGCGGGTCACTGGTGGAATGAAAGTCAAGGCCGACCGCGACGAGTCTTCGCCCTACGCTGCTATGCTCGCCGCCCAAGACGTTTCAGAACGCTGCAAACAGGTACTTTTTGATGAACTTTGTTGGGGTTGCGGTTGCAAAGAGACCGTGCTCGTGCGTGTTCTGTGATTTTTTGGTGCTTGGATCCATGCTATACTTTGTTTTTTAGCTCGGAATCAACGCGCTCCACATCAAGATCCGAGCCACCGGCGGCACACGCACCAAGTCGCCCGGACCAGGAGCCCAATCCGCCCTGCGCGCTCTCGCCCGAAGTGGAATCAAGATCGGCCGCATCGAAGACGTGACCCCGATCCCGTCCGACAGCACTCGAAGGAAGGGAGGTCATCGCGGACGTCGCCTCTAATCATGCTTTTACGTGTTTTGTTACTGTTGTTGAAATTTCTTGAATAAACAGATTCGACTTAGCACGGGTGCATCATATAGTTGGCGGGAGGGCACTTGTTTCAGTAAGTTGGCTTTGTCGCGTTCTGTCAAACTGCTTGTTTGGATGCCGGAAATTTGCATCGAACGCATAATGCGGCTGGTTACGCGGATTCTTTGCGCACTTCTTCAAGCCGGAACTTCTTCAAGAAACTTGTTGCACAGCGGACCCTCGCACGCGTGCATGCTCGCTCTCTCTCTATCTACCTCTCTAACTCTCTCCATCTATTTATCTACCTCTCTCTCTCTCTATCTCTCTCTATCTGTCTAATTATGCGTTTACACCAAAGCGCTTCCGATAGGCTGGTAGTGTGAGCGCGGCCGAAAAGGGAGAGAAAGAAAGGGGAGAGAGAGAGAGAGAGAGAGAGAGAGAGAGAGAGAGAGAGAGAGAGAGAGAGAAAGATCTTGCAATTCAAAAAGGTGTGCCAGCAAAACCGCAGCCTGCATTCATAAAACAAATTATAAGGCAATTTCACATAGTTTTTAAATCCTACCTTATATAATTTGGTCGCGTATCTTTGTGTGTGTGTGTGTGTGCGGAGGTCAGTTTCGAGGCCCGATTTGAGGGCCTTCCCGTGTCCAAAATGCCCTAATTCTCCGTCATCCGGGGGAATCGACCCTCCTCTTTCCGATGGCGTTTTCAGAATCCCGATAAAATACAAGTTTACAAAGTTAAAGCCGGTTTTATTGATTTTTATTTTTTATTTTTTTTTATTTGCATGATGTGAAAAAATACAAATTTTCTCATTCTTACCAGTTGCACTCGCGAGTTTGGTCGTCTTTTTGGATCTGCCTCTCGATTCCTTTCCTTCCCCTGCCTCGGACAGTCCCCAAAAGGGGTTTTTGGCGCGTGCTGCCAAGCATTGCATGGTGTAGTGATAAGCGTTTCGCCCTGCTAATCTAACCATCGGAGGTTCGATCCTCGGATATCGTAGTTGTTTTGCTTTTTGCTCGGAAAGTGCGTTTCGGAGTAGATCTCCGTGTAGGAACGTTATTATGAAGTTAGTCACTCAAACCTGCGCCGCAGCCTATAGAATGAAGCTACCCTCTCAAGCTAGCGCCGCAGGCTTAAAGAAGGAGGAAACCGCTAAAGCTAGCGCCGCAGGCTTTAGAATGAAGCAAGCCGCCCAAGCTAGCGCCGCAGGCTTTAGAACGAAGCTAGCCGCCCAAGCTAGCGCCGCAGGCTTTAGAACGAAGCTAGCCGCCCAAGCTAGCGCCGCAGGCTTTAGAACGAAGCTAGCCGCCCAAGCTAGCGCCGCAGGCTTTAGAACGAAGCTAGCCGCCCAAGCTAGCGCCGCAGGCTTAAAGAATGAGGTAACCGCTCAAGCTAGCGCCGCAGGCTTTAGAACGCAGCTAGCCGTATTCATTAATATTCTGACTTACACCGCGAAACGATCGTGCGGGTCACTGGGGGAATGAAAGTCAAGGCCGACCGTGACGAGTCGCCGGCCTATGTTGCTATGCTCGCCGCCCAAGACGTTTCAGAACGCTGCAAACAGGTACGACGTAAGAGCTTTGAATTGTCTTTCAAGTGATTTATCTCAAAGCGAGCGCTGGCTTTTGCGTGGCTAACTACCCGTGGTATACTTTGTTGTTTTTTTGGTTCGGCATCAACGCGCTGCGCATCAAGATCCGAGCCACCGGCGGAACGCGTACGCAGTCGCCAGGACCACGCCGCCGTACCGTAAGAGTCCGCGCTGCGCGCCGTCGCCCGAAGTGGAATCAAAATCGGCCGCATCGAAGACGTGAACCCAATCCCGTCCGACAGCACCCGAAGGAAGGGAGGTCATCGCGGACGCCGCCTCTAATCAGGCTTTTACGGGTTTTGTTGCTGTTGTTGAAATTTCTTGAATAAACCGACTCGACTGTACATAAGGGTACTTCGGAGGAGCCATCGTTCCAGCGACTAATCCGTCATTTTCTCCAAGCTGTCCAGCGCCTTCATTTGGGTTGAATGAGTGAAAAGCTCGCGGTCGGTGGGAGTTTACTGCTTGAGAGGCATTCAGACACGCGCGTTCAAGCTCTGCATTGGGAAAGTTAGGTCTCTTTCACGAACTTTAGGACAAATGTCCAAGAAAACTGCGGATTTTACGCATAATCGGCCTGTTTTGGCTTGCTAAAGCTTACATTAAGCCGCCAATTTTACTGTTTTAAGGAATCGTTTATCGTGCGCAGGGGTTCATGAATATCATATTTGCATTGGGACTAGGAATTGGCGTTGGATGTTTTGCGCTTGAGCAACACTTCTTTAAAATGTCGGCCCGCGCTCCGGTCCTGCTGCTGTTCATCGGTCTCCTCGGCTTTTATCTGCTCGACGTGGGGACGGCCGATTGCTACCAGTGCCTGCAAGGGGATGAAGGAACGATGGATATGCTGAAGGACATGTGGGTTTCTTTACCGCCGGTGTTGCGCCGTCGAAATCAGACTAGCAGACAATCGTTTAGCGAGGAGTCGGATAAAATCATCGGCGGCATCACCACCATTTCACGGGACTGCACGATCTTGCAGGTGGTGATTGCGCAGCCTTATTGTAAAGCGTTTTACATAGGCTGCAAACTCCATTTGAGACCTAATCCAATTTTGGGGAAAATTTGCTTATACGGTCACCTACTCAAAATCCGACTTTTCATATGTCAAAATGCTCAGCAGGACGAGCTGGTGCGAGATCCGTTGAGAAAACTTGGCGGCGAAAGCTCTATCTCGAGATATCACAAAAGAAAAGCACCAAAATGGCGAAAAATTGAGTGTGTCAGTAGTACGCAAAGCACCAAAAGACAGCACAAATTCCAAAGGAAAATTCGAAAACCTACGTAATTGATCAAAAGCACGTTTTTAAACCCACATTTACTTTTTTTCACACATTCACACGTGCTGAGAATGGTCAGGCAAGGTGGGCCGTCGCTTCGGATGGGCTGCCGCTCCACTCTTTCGAAATCGGGGCGCCTGGCCGCTACGCGCGCCTCGGGCGCCCCGATTTCGAAACCCTGTACGAGCTCGCACCCATCCGAAGCGACTAGGCCCCGGGTGGCACGAAGCCTTTTTCTAGTCGCAGAGCGGAAGAAGTAGCGATTACTTTCCCTCCAAATTGAGTGACTCCTGTCGCAAAACCGTCCTTGATCTTATCGATCAGGGAAACCGGTTTTTCGAAGTCAGTATCTTGAACTACGAAGTCGTGTAACTCGAGATAGAGCTTTCGCCGCCAAGTTTTCTCAACGGATCTCGCACCAGCTCGTCCTGCTGGGCATTTTGACATATCAAAAGCCTGGCTTTGAGTAGGTGACCGGATACGACACTAGCCAACTTCGAAGTCGTGTATCTTGAGATAGAGCTTTCGCCGCCAAGTTTTCTCAACGGATCTCGCACCAGCTCGTCCTGCTGGGCATTTTGACATATCAAAAGCCTGGTTTTGAGTAGGTGACCGGATACGACACTAGCCAACTTCGAAGTCGTGTATCTCGAGATAGAGCTTTTGTCGCCAAGTTTTCTCAACGGATCTTGCACCAGCACGTCCTGCTGAGCATTTTGACATATCAAAAGTTGGGTTTGAGTAGGTGACCGTATA